CCTGGTGTCCCATGGTTGTTTGGGTATTGAAATATGTACCACCCTTGCCCCGTGCCATCTCTTAGCACTCAGGAGGCTCATGTGAAAGTGAATACAGTTTCCATCACGGATATGACTCCGCTGCCATTGGCCTTGACCGTGTCCTTCTAAGTTCCTCCCCAAAATTGTGTGCCGGCCCAGAGACTACCCTGAAATGATCTGTGGGGAACTGATTGAGTGAACCACATATTCTAGGCTAAACTGAGATGATCCGCTGTTTGAAGTCCGAGCAGGCAGAACGCAGTGCAGGTTAATAGATCGGTGAAAGCTGTTCTGTCAGCTCATAAAAAGATGAGAGAACTAAATTTTTATAATCAATGGCTTTGCTGAGCAAACAATATGGACAGTGATTATGGACTTTGGAAAGGAAATGATTTCAGACTAATGTCAGAGTCCAGGTAACTGACGCGGTGGTTGGGCCTTCGAACAGAAAGAATGCACGACCCTGGAAATAGTGTTGGCAGTCCGTCTGTGAAAGCACATGCAGTTTAACTCGTTACTGTCCTTTTCAGACTACACTTCTAGTTGCAGCGTTAACCTCTGGGCACTTTCGTATTCCTTATTGGCAGTTTGATAGGATTCATGTTGTTGGGGGTGGGGGCAGCAGTTTGGCGAGGAGTGGGTGGCCCCGACCCGGTGGCAGACGTGTTCTTGGATGAGACCCTGTCATCTTGGTCCTGGTCTGCCAGTGCTGATGGCTGTGCTTGCCGTCTCCGGAAGCCCTGATCACGTTTCAATACCCAGCTCGTTGTATTTTTCTCTCACCTTTTAAAAAGCAAGCCCCTTGGGAAGGTGAATCACAAGCCTACAGTCTTTTAAAATAATCACCTGAACTTTTCCTCGCCCACTGCATCCCTGTTCCTTCCATTGTCTCCTTCTGCGGTTTCTGGTCCGATCTGCCGTCAGGCACCCGGTGTTGAATAGCCCAGGTCTTGAACAGCCAGGCTCGGTGTTGTCATTATCATTTGAAAGCTTTGGAAATAGGAGAGCTGCTCTCCCCCTGATGAAAGGTAAGTGCAGCCCTTGTTATCACATTCAGTATTTTGGTCCGTTTAGCGGTTGCTAAGTAACCAAAGTTAAACTGACCAGAAGATGGAAAAACTTGAAATTCATTTCCAGGGATTGCCTCAGCCTGCCAAGAAGGCACCTTCCTGTTTAAATGCAACTGATTTTTTATAAGTGACTTGAAATCTCTTGGAGATGATACATTGTTTTCTGGGTAGCAGGCATGATAATGAGGGCCATTTGCCTGTCTGAGGAGGCAGTCGAGCCCACTCGGGTTCCCTAACCTGGCTGGCTCTGGACGCCACTTCCCAGACCCTGCACATCCCAGCTTAGCCAGTCCAGCCTCTAGGTGAAGCCAGGCCCCTGGGAATCCCTTTCGTTTCTAGCCCTGGTCTGTATCTGACCCTGTATCAGCCACGTGGCCAGTGGCAGTGGCCAGGCAAGGAGTAAGGAGTGAATAAAAACAGGTGAGGGTGGGCCCCCAGGCAGCCACATCTCTACCCCTTATCTCAAGACCAGGAGGTGGGTAACTGCGCCAGGGTAGGGGGAGTCACCTCCTCCTAATGCTGAGAATTAAAGATGACGCTCTGGCCAGAGGATTTCCCTGGTGGAGGGAAGCTATCAGTGATTACTCTGGGGGCCTGGGGTCATCCTCTGCCTTTCCTTCCTTCATTCAGCAAAATGCACTGAACACTGCTGCGTGCCTTTCTTCAGTTCATCCTGAGAGACACGCTCGGGCTGCCTCTCTGGCCTCCCGTAGACACTGCCGGAAAGAGTAGCTCGTACCCACTGGGGAAAACAGCCAGGCTCCGGGGGAGGACACCCACCTCCGGAAGACAGACCTTAAACCCAACAGGGTATGCAACCT